ATAGGTAAGTGAAGATTTGGAGAGGACGGAACTAGACTTAATGTCATGTCTGATGGCTGCCTGATGCTGTTGGTGAAAGAGTTGGTTGTTGAAAAGGGATCCGGGGTCGATTTGTTTGGCTGTTGATGTTTGCCGTTGCAGGAAGAGCTTTCATGGTGTACATGGCCAGGCTCACAGAAACGCATCTCTCACTGGGGATGGACGAGGAGAATAACCTCTTTGTCAACTACTGCATCCGGATGAGGCTGCCTCAGGTAGGAGGAGGAGGAGGAGGAGGAGGAGGAGGAGGAGGCAATGGTGACTCACGGGAGTTGTGCGTGGGGAAGCTTGTCGGAGGCTTCAAGTCGAACTGGAAACGAGTCATGAAGATGGCGTTGAATGGGGAGGAAACGGAGCTTAGCGGAGGAAGTACGTCATGAAGGAAAGCAGCATCTATGGACTGACGAGAGCCCTGCAGACACGAAGGTGTACGGGTATTTAGTGAACAACGTCGGAGGCGACTCGTTGTTCCTGAAGGTCTTCTACCTGCACTCGTCGACGGGGTATGGGATGTGCCATCACGACTCATGGACGAGGCGATCTGAGACGTGCTGGATGCAGAATCTGCTACTTCTCTCGGAGCTGGGTTGCCTCCTCGGCAGGATTATTACAGAGTGTGCGGGTGAGGAGCTTGTGGTGGTGTGAGGGGAGGGAGAGGAGTGACGGGGAGACGAGCAGGTGTTTCGAGACGGATCCGACGAGGTGAGAAACTTGCGGTGCGGCCAGCGGCATCGCAGATTTGCAACGACTGCAGGACGAATATCCTCTAAGTCATGTGACAGGAGAGTCCAAGGCACTTTTACATCAACATGGTGAAGGTCGCCGAGGAGGACAGAAGCCTGCTAGCAACTTTAGAGGAGCCTGACAATGATCGCTGATCACCGATGAATTGCCAATGAATGAACTTGTGACGTGGGCTGGGGAACTGAGTGCTGGTGACTTCAAGAAAACGTGTCATGAAGACACAAGATGATATTGACTCCATCTGCTAGTAGCAGCGTTGAAGTCTGAGTCCATGGATTACTAAGGTGGCCACCGCAATGACAAACAGGACTACTCACAAGTCCGCCTCGGTGAAGTGATCTGATCGCGTCCGTCAGTCAGTAGTGTAAACTAGAGATGCGTCTATAAGTACAACTTGGAAAAAGCAAAACCAATGGAGGAATGGGTAAAACAACAAATCCGCCTCAACAGAAACCTAGGAAAGGGAAGAGACAGCAAAAACCTCTACTCTAACCACACAAGTCGCGTGACGCTGACACATAGAAAGAATGGCACGGATTCTATATGGAGCCCTTTTTACTTAAAGTTGAGTAAACTTTCTTAGTTAAGTAACGTTCACAATCAGGAAGCACAATGAAGAGCATCGACGCCGCCCTACAGCAAGGATGATGGTGTTCTACATCAGATCACGTCTTAGGATCATTCTAGGCATAGTTGTGCATTACTTCTACACATCTTTCAATCATGATAAGGATAGAAAACCTTTCATGTCAGAGATGAACATGGTCTGAAGAATCATACTTGTCTTGTTGAGATTCGCAAGTTGTCATGATCATGATGTCATCCATCCCCAACTGTCTTCCAATATGCAAGTCCCTTGAGCAACCATATGACGCTTGTTTCATTTGTACACTGCACGATCATCCACACCCTAATCACAAAAGCATCTTCTCCCCTTACCCCGCACTTGTCCCATGATCCCATCCCCATGAACATTATAGAAGTGACAAGGTGTAATCGTTGTTGCATGCAGGATAGCATCCAACTTCCCAATGTGTCTGTACCTAATCCTCTCAAACCTGCGCATACTCCTTCACCCCCATCCCCAGTTCTCTGGTATTGCACTTGCATGTTTGTAGACATCTCCGACATGTACTGTGCTCTTCTGTATTGCACACTAATGTATTACACTAGTAACTACACCAAAACATCTCTACGTCCTTCGCCCTCGCCCGCTCCGAGTTCCTAAGCAAGTTCACCACCGTCATCCACGACAAATGGCCAAACCTTGACGTCACGTTCCATTCTCCTCTTGCTTTCTTGTATACTTCCATCAGAAAGTTTTCACACTGATCATACATAAACCCCGCTTCCTCTATGCCGTCCGGTTGCTCGACATACACTCCCAGTGCTCTGGCTTCTATTTCTATTTCCCTCACAAGATACCGCAAGTCACTTAACCTCTTCTTTTGATCCTTGGTGTAGAAATGGCGAGGCTTCAAGGTTTTGTAAGCAGGATACCCTTTCTCCCTGTTTCCGAAATGCCATTGTGTATAAATTGCTCTTGTATTCGCTTTCACCCATTTGAAATTGGTGGGAAGTAACCTGCTCTCGTCCCCTTCCATCGTATTGTCATTGACTGTTTCATCTTCAACCTCGCCGCCATCGTCCTGAGCATCTTCCATCACATCTTCCATCTCCACATCCTCCGTCACTGTGCGACTTTCCCTTCCCCTGTCGCTTCCATGCCTTACACCCAATCTTCTGCGCACTGCAGTACTCGCCAGTCAATGACTTACCGCTCTCTTGATCTCATCTGTCATGCCTTCTTTCAATTCCTTGATAGACCGTTTCATTTCTTCGAATTCCTTCATAGACCCTTTCATCTCTTCCAACGTATTCTGTATCCCTTGCAGGCACTGTTGCATTCCTTGCATCTTCGCATCGATTCCCTCTCTCAATTTGCCTTCTCCATCCCTTGTTTTCGTCACGAAATCATACATTCTCCATACAACCTCAATCAAATGGTTCAGGTTGTCCTCCGCTGCTGCTTTCACGCCTGCATCCACACCTGTTCCTCCATCCCCCAACCCACTCTGCAAGGAATTGGCTAGAGGACGGTTCTCTGCGATCGCTCGGAAGATTGAATCAGCTGAAGTGCGGAAGCAAACTGCAAGCTTCTCTTCCATTGTTGCCTTTGTTTCTGTCAAGTGATTGATAACACAGCAGCTGTGGAATGAGGACGCTTGCGACCTCGCCGTGCCCTAGGCTGCGCCGGCGATTGATCCAATGGGGCTTCAGGTTGCAAGACGTTTTCGTCTCCTTCCACAGCAAAAGCTGGAATAGCCTGTTCCCCTCCTACCTCTGGCCCCGTTGAATCACTGTCATGAACCTCTTCCATTACCTCCTCCTCCTCCCCGGAGTCCCCCCGATCCTCTTCCGCCGTCACTTCCACTTCAGCACTGCGTAAGACACTTCCCTCTGCGCCAGACATAACTATGCTTCCGTAGTTAGCACCGTAACCTGCCAAACCAACCCTTTGCTTGGTGCCGCTGAAGGACGTAATACCCCCCACCCCCAAATTCTCTTCAAAACAGGGGTACTACTATGAATCCATCTTATGCGCGTGTTTGCTTTTTATTATTTCCTTTGCTATGATCTTGGTCCTATTCCTGGATACAGTGTTAGCTATATACAAATTAAAACAAGGGAATTTGACGGAATCCGTCGGGCTCTACGGTTTGCAAGCCCCTCATACAGCCCGCACATGCCCAGTTTTGGTCCGTTATATTACAGATACTTCTGACAGGCTAACCCGCCTCGGAGGGAACTATTTTCACTCAACTTGAAGGAGGTGGCTAGTAATAAGTTCCAGTGGTGCTTATTCTGAGAATCATCAAATTTTGAAAATTTGATATTACATTTCAAAGTAAGGTCTGAACTGGTTTGTATCTAGGATTTGGTTTGTCTTTCTTTTTCAGTCAATAAAAGCGAAGGATTTGGGGAAAAGTTGCCATTTCATGCAGTGCGGTCCCTAGTGAGACGACGCTCGGCGATGCGTCCTAGAGTGTCGCTGACAGAAGGCTGAGAGCACAGTCTGATGATCCAGGAGGCAGGGATGACATGCTGGTGCTGTACGGCGTCATAGCAGAACGAAAGCTTCCTTGCAAGCTTACGAGCGAGATATGCACTTCTTGTCAACAGATGTGAGGCCTGGACACATCAACCCCAAGGCAAAGCCCAAGGGAATGAGTACACAACGAGGAAACCTGGAGCGCAAGCGACAGAGAGACAAACAAACCAAGTCAGCCAACAGAGACACCACCAAGAAGCTTCTCGACGCCTTGGACCCCCTGGTCCCCTGCTCGAAGAGAAGGCTCCAGGAGCTCAACGGGTATCTTCCCTCGTCCCGGACTACTGTGCAGATGCTGGAGGACCTGGTGACGCACTTGCGGGCCATGCCGGCGTCGTCTCGGGCGAGCAGGAAGGAGCGAAAGCCCGGCGTGTCGCTGGAGGAAGCGACTGCGAGGGTCATGTCGAGCCGGAGGGAGAGGATCGTGTCGGTGGAGCTACCGAGCTGGAGGATCAAGTGCGGGAGCGTGGGGCTAGAGGGGTACTACGTGCGATCGCCGCTACGGAGGCTGGTGAGCAGAAGGGGGGTTGGAAGGTGGGGGGAGGGAGGAGTAGCTGGGGTAGGGAAACAAAAGTAGTTTGGAAGGTGCGGTGTTGAGCGGGGAAGATGCATGGAGGGGTAAGGAAGGAGGGATGCAGGGCAGGAGGCGAGCAGATGTCTGACGCGGAGCATGACTGTTGGGACAGGAAGGACAGTGCTTCCTCCATCTGGTCGAGAACGAGAGCCTGGACGTGCTACGAGCGGCTGGGCAGGCGGTGATGCGGGGGGAGGGGGTGGGGCCCTTCTTCGTAGACCTGCGGACGTTCTCGAGGGAGGGGATGGTGTGCTTGAACGTGATCAGGTGTCGGGTGATACCGGCGCATGTGTCGTGCAAGGGGGAAGGCGTGTTCGTACTGGAGGCGCAGGAGGAGGCGGAGGTGAGGCACGCGTGGCCGGCAGAGCTCGTGAGGGACCTGTGCATGGTGTTCAAGCGAGACCCGAGGACGTCGAACGCGTATGCGTACGACATCGACCAGGCCATACGGACTCTTTCTGCGGAATGCAAGTATGATAACTCTGTGTTTTGATATTGCGATGTGTTATCTCTTGGTGAGGATTGGTTTGTGCACAGAGGTCCCATGCATCATGGATTGAGCCTTCTGGCATCTGAGGCAAGCAGCCGGAGGGTAATGTCATGGATACGAGATACCATCGGATATGGTAAGAGACTTGCCGACAGGGCAGATGATGACATGAGATGATGCCAGGAGCAACGGCACTCATAGCATATGCCAAAATCACGGAATCTCACGTGATGTTTGATCTCAACTCCAACAATCAGCTGGTCGTTCAATACCATGTGCGCATGCGACTTGGTCAGGTACACGACTCAGATCGTACGCTGGCATGATAGCTGATGGGACGGCTGATCAATCGAACCTTGCAGATGCTGGGGGGGTACAAATCCAACTGGAAGAGAGTGTTTCGCAACGTCTTTGACTTGCAGCCTACCATGCTGAGCACATCAGGTCAGAGGCTTGTTGAGACATGAAAGGCGAGTAGGAAGACGCACCAATCGGGTGTTGCAGAGCACGATGTGTATGTGATCGCTGAGCACAAGCCTGGTGAGGAACTCTTGCGGGCGAGGCTTTTCTACATCTTCAAGGCTACGGGGTGAGGAAGAAGCACAGAGGTGATGGGCCCGGGTACTGACGGATCTGGCCGATACAGCTGTTGCTTCTGCACGCGAGCTTATGACTTCAGTAGGAGTGGGCTGTACCAGTCGTGTCAGGTACTGCCAGATGCGGGGGAGGAGTTGTATCGCGCGTTGATTTACGTTTTCACTGCAGGTCTTCCAAGACGGATCAGATGTAGATCGATTGAGACTCGACTTTCTTGCTTGAGATCTTGACTTCGCTGTCACAGATGAACTACAAGAAGCTCTTCATCAACTTTCTGAGGAGAGCAGACGCCGACAGGGAGCTGGTGGCATCGATGGAGGAAGACAACGAGCGAGAGGCGCAGGCAGAGAGGTGGTGGGAACCTGAGCCGAGCAATGCTGTTGGAGGGGGGCAGGGCAGCACCGACCATGAGCTGGGGTCTGGCTGAGGAGATGCGGGTGTGAAGGGCAAGGTTTGTCATCAAGGATGTTGATGGTTTGAGGTGACAGTGGTACAGGTTGTGTTGGCAATACAATGCGGCACTCCTTCCATGTCGTACGACAATCAGAAGTGAAGATGAGAGAGCAACTCAAGCAGACATGCAGGACTCATGTGATAGTCAGAAGACATTGGTTGTTATTCATCACCCACGTAATGCACACGTTCAACATGTTTCAGACATGGAAACAAGAGCCCTTCAACTTGAATTTCAAGCACAGCTAACTGCATCACCAGCAATAAGCCAAAGCTGATCATTCCCTTCAGAGCCTGACCGACACAGTCCCCTACTCCTCTCGGGTCAACTTCTAGTGAGCATCAAAGAATAATCTCCGGTGTATTGCAAGGAGGACCTTTTCCGTCTCATCGACGTCCATTTCCGTATTTTGTATCACTTCACTCTGCCCTGCTCCCTCTTATGCCGTTCATCCTCCCTCCTTTCACTCTCCTCTCGTCGCCTGGCGTTGTCCTCATTCGAGCATTGCAGTCGGAGAATGGTTGTGGTCTTTTTACTCAAAGTTAAGTGGTAGTATTATGACCCCCACCCTCGCAAGGATGGAAGACAGGGGGTCCAGGGAGTGTTGAGTTTTAGAGGTTTTTAGATTTATAATGAGTTCTTATTCATTTTGGTTTTTAGTTTGGCAGGCTAGAATCACCCCCCGGAGAAACATACCTCCGAAACCTTCGAAACGTATGGTAGGGTCCTGCATCTTTTGACAGGGTCACTCTTTCAATAAAACGCTAAATCTCTGTATAAACAAATTAGAATTTTAATAAAGTTTTATAGCTACACAAAATCCTTACAATGTTTAGTACAGTTTTGAAATTTGAATCTTTGATGAACAAGCTTTTAAAAGCCCCTAGATTCAAATATTGAGCGGATGTGCTGTGAAGTGTAACACTTTAATAACAGTTTTAATAATATTTCCTGGTACTACCGCTGATCTCCTGTTTACCTCGGTTTCCGAAGAGCTCTGTTTCAAGTTTCAACAAAGTTTTAGATCTTATAAAACACTTATATTTGCGTATGGTTTTAAGAAGGAACACGCCGGACATGCCTGCGTGAGCCAGAACGGTCAGGAGAACAGAGACAAGGAGCAGAGGAGGAAGAGGAGGAGAACTAGCGTGGAAGAAGGAGAGACATCATGGAGAAAGAGGGCTGAACTAAACGGGCACACCCTTCACAAAAGAGTGGAAGGCCATCGCACCTATCTTCGACAGATCAGAGACAGAAAGGAGCTGTCGACAAAGTTTGCCAGTGGTCTTCCGACTGGCTTCATATTCGTTCTTTCAGACAGGTCAGACGCAAGCTGTATATATTTTCTTCAATCTGCACTATTCTTTATCACCTCTATTCTCCTGGTACTGTAACATCGGATGATCAGTATGCACAACTGACGGGGATTTGAACAAGAGAACGAAAACATCATCCACACACTTCTTCTTCACCAACCTCCTTGTTGCTCTTTCTGATCAAAGATGACGCTCGACATAACCTGCAATCATGTTTGCCCCAAGCTGCTCACCAACGCGACCTGTACAGCATTTCACGGTTGCAAGTGGACTCCGGAGGGAAAATGTACATTGGGCCAATCAGTGACTTCAAGCATTTGGATCGGAATCATTCTCAGTCTTGTAGCAGACATTGTCATCAATATAGGGATGAATGCGATGAAGTACGCTCACAACACAAACATGGACGACGAGGGCCGGCCCATCAAGTCCTTCTTCCTTGTCCCGTGTTGGTGGATCGGTGAATGCCTTGTTTGCTTGCGGCCGGGGGTCTGACGGATGTTGCAGGCATGGTAGGAATCCTAGCTGGAGAGGTTGGGAATTTGATAGCGTACGGATATGCTCCTGCCTCCATCGTCACCCCAATGGGAGCGGTGGGGGTGTTGACGAATGTCATCATCACAACGTATGTTTTGGGAGAAGCGTTCTCTATCATGATTGTCTTCGGAGTCATCCTGGTGGTCGGTGGGATTGTATTGGTGGTTTACTTTGCCCCAGAGAGCACAATCGTCGTCCACTCCAGCACATTCTGGGAAGACGTTGTATGGACGCAGCAATTTCTGATCTACTCTGTGCTTTTTATAGTCCTTCTCTCCCTGTTCCTCTACCTGGGCAGGAATTACGGGGAGAAGAACGTGTTGGTCTACATCGGAACTTGTGCCATCATCGCAACTCTGACGATCATCTCATCCAAGACCTTCTCCACCCTGCTCTCCCAGGCCTTCGAGACAGGCAACTGGAACGATTGGAAGTACCCGGCTCCCTACATCGCCATGGTGGTGATGGTGGTGACCGCGGTGACGAGCATGGGATATGTGAACAAGGCCATGATGTTCTTCGGAAACTCCATAGTTGTGCCTACCTACTATGCTTGCTTCACCGTCGCCTCCGTCGCCTCTGTTGCGTTCGTTTACAGGGAGTTCAGCTGCATGACAAATCCAGCCTCCACCATCCTCTTCCTACTCGGGATAGTCATGACCGTCTTGGGGGTCTGCCTTCTCAATGTGAAGGACGACGGAGACGAGGACGAGGAGCCGGAGAAGGATCTCATTAAGGTTGCAGACAAGACGGAGCTCTCCGTCATCGCCGAGGACGATCACTCCAGCACTCCCTCCACCAGCTCCCCCCACGGCCTCTTGGATTCTTGTGCAGCCTCGCCGGAGGAGGGGACCCACCGGCACCGATCGCCAGTCCCGTTCCTGCGAAAGTTTTTCTCTGGGATCCCCACCCCTTCCTCGCTCGTTGGCTCTCCCCACATCCCCCTGGGCTCCTCGTTGGCTGTGCCTCCTCTCGCTCTCAACAAGAGGGCCATCAGTGAGCCTTTTCACTCCACCAACTCCCCTCTCTCTCGCTCCACAGACAACGTGCTGCAGGCTCCGGGGAGGAGGAGGAAGAGAGACGAGGGGCTGATGGTGATGGGGCTCAAAGGAGGCATCATCTACGTCCCCATACAGCACAAGGGCCATCCAGCAGAACCCCAGCATGGCCTAGAAGGAGGGGATCAGCGCAAGGACGAGGAAGCGGACAGGAGGTAAGACTCGCTGGTCGCCTTTGCTCCTCCTCCGCTCCTTTCTTCCGACTCCCCATGCTCCTCCCCCACATCCCTCCTCACTCTCTCACTTCACACTGACTTTCTGCAAGAAGAAACTCGACCTCAAGCAGGTTCTCCATGTTTCTTTACCATGTGGAGCGAAACCGTCGTCCACAGTCGTCGCTCAGTCGTCGCTCGGAGGGATACTCCTCTGCTCCCCCCACAATCCAATGCCCGAACTCGGCTCGCTACTCAGATTCAAACTTCTCCGCTCCTGACCGACTCCATGGGTCGTCGAGGTCCCTGGAAAGCTTCGGGTACTTGCATCTCGTTTCCTCTCCCTCCTCCCTTCCTGCCCCTCATACTCTCATCAGAACGGATGTGCATGGAAGCCTGAAGGACTTCAAGACCAATCAGCAGCTCTTTCCCTCTCCGCCGAAAGCCCGTCTTTCCTCCTCTTTCCATGAAGATGGAGCTCATGAGGGAGCAGTCGAATCTCGGGTGAGCTTGACAGGATTAAGGAGGAGGAGAAGGCTGAGCTTTTGACGGCAGAAGTCTCAGGAAGAGGCAGAATCACAGAAGCAGGACAAGCAGAACGTGCAGGGGGTAAGGCTCCCAACCTCCCACCTCCTCCTCTCGCTTCCGCTTCCCCCTCCCCTCCCATTTCCTCAATCTCGCTCCTCCTCTCCCTCGCCCCAGTCGGCAATGTGCGTCTCAACAGGCAGCAGGTGCTGTCAGGGACGGATCCAACGGAAGAGGCCAACAGCTGGAACGTTGTCCCCCACGGCCCCTTCCCCGAGCCCATTCCTTCCACCTCCATCAACAGCTCGGGGGACGTAGAGATGCACATCAGAAACGAAATTTCCAACTTGGACGGTAATCCTCGTTCTTGCATTCAACTACTATCTGCTCCCTCCCTCCCAACCCCCCTACAGTCCTCACTGACTCACTCTCCCTCTCCCTCTCTCCCTCCCTCCCTCACACCTGCTCCTTGATCACATTTACGCGCAGACCAACTGAGCACACTTGATCGACACCTGGATCAGATCCGTGACGAGCCTGCGACCTCCCAAGCCGAAGGGGAGGAGGAGGAGGAGGAGGCGAACGGGCAGTCGTGGGCATGAGAGATGAAAAGATTGATATGCAGTTAACTCCATAGGAGTCAAATCATCACCTAGTGAGACAACAAGGATGTATGTATTGTACAGCACCTTGTCAAAGAGATTGCTTCTCATCAGCGATGCTCTACAGAAAGTAAAAAGTCTTGCAGAAAGTAAAAAGTCTTGCATAACTGTCAACTCTCGCGCGAACCCAAGTTTGGATTTCAACCGAAATAATTGATGATAATCATGCATCTTTTTCGACAATTAGAAGAGACTTAAAATTTATGTCCAGAGGACCTTCATTTTGGGAAAGATCGCAACAACAAGACATACAGCCATATGATAGCAATCAAATTTTATTCAAACGATGATGAGTGAGATTACAGTACAGGAAACAGAACGAGAAGGTGTCTATCAGAGAACAATGAATAAGGTAATCCGATCAGCACTTGTATCCTTGCTGTCTCAGCGCATCCTTCATGGCAGATAGAACAGTCATGGCAATGAGGGGAGTAGCGTTCACTCCCATCAAGCCTACACGCCACACCTTGCCAGAGAGCTCTCCGAGTCCATTGCCGATCTCGATACCGTACTTGTGAAGGACGAAGTTGGTGACCTGCTTCGGGTCGATGCCCTGAGGCACCTTGATGGTAGTGAGTGTAGGGAGGCGATGCTCGTAGGCAACCAGCGGCTCCAATCCCATCTCCTGCAGTCCGCTCCAGAACATCTCAGCAGCGTCCCTGTGCTTCTTCCACCTGTTCTCCAACCCTTCCTCGCGGACAATCTCGAGGGCCTCGCGAAGAGCGTAGCACATGGAGATGGGAGCAGTGTGGTGGTAGGAACGAGCTCCTCCGGTGTTGCTTCCGATGTAGGAGGCGACCATTCTCATATCCAGGTACCAGTTGGCAACATCAGTCTTCCTGTTCATCAGCTTGTCCATCGCCCTGTCGCTGAAGCTGAGGGGAGCGACTCCAGGAGGGCAGCTCAGAGCCTTCTGAGTTCCAGCGTACGCAGCATCGACCCCCCACTTGTCGAGGTAGAGGGGAACTCCAGAGATGGATGTAACGCAGTCCGCAATGAGGAGAACACCATGCTTGCGGCATAGCTCGCCGACACCGTCGAATGGCTGACAGGCTCCAGTGGAGGTCTCAGCATGCACAAGAGCGAGAACCTTAGGCTTGTGCTTCTCGATCGCCTCCTTGATCTCCTCATAGGTGAACACCTGGCCCCAAGGGCGATCCATGGTAACAGGAACGGCGCCGTATCTCTTGCCCATGTCGACGAGGCGCTTGCCGAAGTAGCCATTGCAGCCGATAAGAAAGACATCTCCAGGCTCAATCATATTGGCGACGCAAGCTTCCATGGCAGCAGAGCCTGTGCCAGACACAGGGATGGTGAAGCTGTTGTTGGTCTGGAAGGAGTAACGAAGAAGAGATTTGATGTCCTCCATCATCTCAAGGAAGTATGGGTCGAGGTGACCCACCTGTGGCAAGCTCATCGCAGAGTACACTCGAGGATGCGCATTGCCAGGCCCGGGTCCGCAGAGAAGGCGGATGGGAGGGTTGAAGGACTTGACCGACGGGATGGGGACGTCCTCTCCGAGGTTCTTCATGGTAAGAACCGGCTGAGCAGTGATATCAATGGGTTTGGCTGCCATATGCGACGCCTGCGCGGCAGCCGAAGCACTCATGGCTCGGTTGCCTTCCGATCCTGCCTGTGTTGCGGATGAGGAGAACATCCGGCAAGCGGCCTTGCGAGAGAAACGACGAAGGAGCATGTTGTGCAGTTGCTGGTTGTCACGAGGAAGATTCAAGTAGCTTGCTTAAACGAGTCAGAGAAAGAGTGCCTGAGGTTCAACAGAGGACGAGGAGGTTGTCAGAGGTGAAGGAGCGGACAGCAAGTGCTGAGGTCCACCACGATGGAGGAATGGCGATATTCCTTGCAAACAATTCGGGCCTTATAAAGAAAATGTACCCTACCCCCTGTGTCGAATCCCCAGGGTTCCCTCACCCCTTTGTTATACGTGAAGTACCCCGTCATTTGGAGGGTTCCCCACTGTAAGAATATTGAAAGGCAGGGTGGCTGGTCGGAATGAGACCCCTGGAGGCAGGGGTAGGGGTGTGTAGAGAAGAACAATCCGAAAGGTCGAAACCTGTGGGGTTGGGTCCGAATTCAGGGTTGCGAGGGGGTAGGGGTAATCATCAATTATCAAACTGTAGGTGGGTGGGTGTTCATCAAACTGGGTGGATAGTGTGTAGAACCGGTGTTTTTACGGTTGTTTGTACCGGTTAGATCCCTCTGTAAATTTAGGGTTGGCCAACGGGTAGTCCATTGAGGGGTGGGGTATACCGCAAAGCACATCCATTACCGGTACAATATGAGGAGTAAACAGGGGTAAAGCTATCCTAGTAGTGGGTACCTTTGTTTTACTGTTCCAGCCATGTGGGACTAAAGGGGGTAGGGGTAGTTGACATGCTGTAGGTACTGGTGGTTCTCCTCACTTTTTATAGGGTGGGTACAAGAGTACAGGGGTCATTGTGCACCAACGTAGGGACATAACTTGCTAGAATATCGTAGGGGGTATGTTCTTGGCTTCTTTTAGGTTGCTATGACGGTAAAATTCATATACAATTTGAAATTTTCATATCCCATATTTTAGTATCTGAATTTTTGTTGCAAACAGTCCGAACTTGCACTTGGATCGAAACGATGATTTTTTACAACGTTTCGAACTCGGTCCTCGTTTTACAGCAGTCTACCATCCCCCAACTAAACTTTACTCCACCCCATGTGGTCAACATGGTGACCACCCCTCCATCCCAATACCCCCAAGATCTCTGCATAGTACCCGTGCTCATGACAGGCTCTCCATGGAGACATACCAAGGACCCCTTTAGAAATCAATCACCTCCCTCTTGATAAGCTGTAAATTGCCTCTAGAGCTGGGGTGGGGTTGTACGAGCCTTTGTGAGTTGAGTCTGATCAGTGAAGTCCGGCGCTGACAGCCGGGCCGCAACCGGTCTTCGGCTGTGGCCGGGCCGGGCCCCGGTACCGGCACCGGTCACAGTAGCAGTACTGAAAAAGGAGTAGTAGTTTGTGGGCAGCAAGTAATGGCGCCAAAACCTGTTCAACGGGAACAAGAGGAGGGGACAGGAGGAGCAACCGAGGAGGAGGGAGAGAGGGCAGAAAGAAATTGATGAAGAGGAAGTGAAGGAAAGTAGGAGGGCAGAAGAGATAGAAGATTGCTTGAGGAAGTTTTAGGAAGATAGACGACAAGGAATGGAGAAGGCAGGTGAAGAGAGGAAAGCAGAGCGCATGAATGCAAGGTTGGCAGGGAGAGAATGAAATGGGTTGAGACGTCGGGGAGCAGATGATTGTGCGAGTGTGAAATGGTGGGGGAAAGAGGGTGCAGGGAGGATGTAGGAAAGGAATTCTCAGGATTTCATGCTACATAATGAATTAACCATGAGGGCCTAATTCAAGGCTTTCGAAATCTGAAGTCCTAACTTTTGTCTCAGACGGAGTCTTTATCGGAGACCAATGTTTGAAAAGTAGTTGTATTCGGGCCTTGTGTGATTGCGTGATGCGGCTGCGTGCTGAACTTGAGGGAACCAAACGGCTGCTTGAGATATCCCGAGTGCTCATGAAGGTCTCAAAAAGTGCTATCATCCTCCTCAGCCCCACATCTTTCAAAATTGCTATCAACAGTTTTAGCCCGACAATGATGAAATGCTGGGCTGAATTGAGTCCGGTGAGGAGTAATGATTTCTACCGACAAGGATGTTGACTTGGTCGGTAGACAGGACATGATTGCGGACTATTCAGGACATACAGGATTGAGAGCAAGAATGGAAATAACATCGCATTTGAACTTGATCTATCATCTTTCGAAAGAGCTCTGAGGGTATGATCACTGCGATGCTGTGTTATCACGGGTTGACAACCTCTCCTTCCAGACTGCAGAAACATCGAATCTAACAACCATCAAGTTGGCGAAAAGGGATGATCTTGCGTTCCTCAGCTTTGAAAGCACAAGTCATGTGAGCATTGCATCCTGAGACTGCAATGGTTTTACTTCAATCCTTTAGAGCACAGCAGCCATGTCCGTAATACAGGATGTGCCAATCGAAGTTCTTTCATCGAATGTTTTGCAAGAGGTTCAAGAACCTGACGTTGGCAAACCCGTAGTTCAGTTGCTTTCTCCATCGCTAAGAAGTTTGCTGAATGTTAATGTTTACGTTTGAGATCCCATGAAGATCGCTGAAAGTGCCTCAGGTTGTTGAAAGGTTAAAGAGTGTTGATGGCACGATTTGCATTTCTGGAAATATGGCTGGAGAGCTTGAAATGGAAGCGCGAACAGAATTTGCATTCATGAGTACAACTTGGAAGGACCTTGGCTGTGCTCAACAAGGCAAGGAATTGGTTAGCATGCTGTGCCTCACCATTCTGAATGGAGATCAAATCTGCAGGTCAAGCAAATGATCCATCAAAGAAAGCAAGCTTAAAAGTCGATGCTGATTCTCTGTCAAAAGCATTTACAAGCCACGTTCTCCGACCAACACGATCGTATTGTTGTATGATGTCTTCGTTCGTTTTACGCGGCTGTTGAAACAAATAATGAGTTGTTTAGGTATGATTGAGGGAAACTTTGAGATGCTTGTCTGGTATGTCGTAATCGGGAAAGACACGGTAAGCCCCAAACTCGAACTATCTCATTTGCTGATTCTGAGAATACTGTTCAGATCGCATATTACGTTCCTGTTCGTGCTTAGCAGTTCAGGGAGAAGAAATGTTTACTCTCTTTCGCTGTCTCTCTCTCTTTTCTCTCTCTCTCTCTCCATTCCTACTGTGTTGTCACCTCCATATTTTGCACTTTTTGGATCAGAATTCTAGGATCTTATTTGATTCCTCAAAATTTTTGAAAACTTTCAACTGGCAACTCAAACTCTACTCAGTTTCTATGTGCAATCTCCCTGAAACCAGCTGTCCGCGTTGGGGTAGACATTGCGGCACCCTCTGAACGCTTACTTGCAACGCAGAACGCATGGCCAAGAGAGATGAATTCGAATGACTCTCAGGCAAAATTTTAAATGAACTAGAAAGATTACTTGAATTCTCTATTTACAAGGTGAGCAGCAAAATCTTTTGAAGATTTCAGCAAAAAAACATTTCTAAACTATTTCTCGGCCTCGTTGGTTCTGGTTCACATGTTGTTTGAAAAATTTCACGAGCTGACGATCTGGGAGCGAGAAATGTACCAATTGCGCATACAAACGTCCTTGTCCTGTAAAACGATTACGCATATCTACAGACAGTACGAGGCAAAGTACGTCACAAACGGGATCAACACAGTTGAATTCTGAGTTTGACTGCTTCGACCTAAATTTGATTAAGATTTTCGTTGCTTCCAAGGTATTTGCACAATTCTAACCTCATTGGCTCGAACTGTAAGGAGCTCGCATGGATGGAACATTCATGCAGCAGGTGCTTAATGTCATCTTGCAGCTTCCAAAGCAGCTTAAAGGTGAATAAGGCGAAGAGATGAGCACACGAAGGCAGAAATACTTTTAGATCGGACGAATGCAACTCATCAACAATGACGTGCATGGAACAAATGTTCACGTCCTGTGCTAGTGTCAGACATTGAAGTGCTGGCTGATACCGTAAGCTCCTTTCCTGCGCTAGTCTCCAGACGTGGAGCTCGTGGACATCAACAACGCCTTGTTGCTACAACCAGCAATTTCAACAATTCTTGCTCGGTGACATATAAGAGAAAACCTCCTTGATCAACTCCTGAAGCTCGTGACTGGTTGAAGCCTGATCAGCATAAGCCTCAATCTCGACTGTCGGTGACAGAGATCAAGCCCTACATGCGAACAGAGGTCGTTGGGAGCACTCTCCATGAGCAGCATGATGGTCTGCATGCCCCGTCATGATGAAGGAAGGCCATTGAAAACTTGCCTCTGAGAAGATCGGGATCGTATTGTAGAAGATAATCCCTACGATCATCAGGCTGAAAAAGAGGGGTCAGATCGTAAGGGGTCATTCTTATACGCACCTTGACAAGGGGTCGACAGCGTACTTGTAAGGACTGTAGCAAGCATGATACTCAGCGAGAAGACAATATTGGGTAGACGGTGCAGAGAGAGAGTGGAATTGAAGAGGTCGAGTGGGGGAGCGTATAGTACCTTGTGCTGTACTTGATGATAGCTGAGCTGAGAACTACTGCAAACGGTAAAAACTTTAGTCCTCTTCCTTTGGGAAGGCGGCAGAGAATGGAACGTACCGGATACTGCCCCCATCATGTCTCCCAGGATGTGCAAAAATATTGATCTTTCGTTGAAGTTGTCATGATGGACATGAGCATGCTTTTCCTCGAAATGATCGTTACTGTGCTGTGCTTCCAGCTGCGGCATGTAAGTGAGGAATAAACTTCTCATGGGAAAAGTTGACCTTGGAGTAGCTCCGAGAACGTCCGGAAGATGGCAATATCTTCGATCTTGTACTTTCATGATTATGTCTGTGCAGGATAGCGGTAGGCAACAAATCATCCATAGCATCTTGATGCACAAGCTTCGAATGCTCTCTGTCATGACAGCCTGATGCTAGAGAGGTTCTTTCACTCGGTGAATGATTGTCGCAGCACGATGCCGATGTGCAACATTCTTCTTGCCGTCCCTCACCCTCACAGCCCTCGTCCTTGCTATGGCAAGAGTGCGAATAATGCGAATGATGTGAGTGAATGTTGACTTCTGTCATCTCACTTTCATGTCCATGACTTCGAGTGTGGCATGGACCATGAGAGTCCTGGTGGTGGTGAAGTTGGGGAATGCTGCCATGCCCGTGCGAGTGACCATGCCCGTGCGAGTGACCATGCCCGTGCGAGTGACCATGCCCGTGCGAGTGACAGCCATGTGAATGTCCATGTCCGCCGAAGATGAAGAGTCCAGCTAAATTGATGCAAACACCCATCATGCCCACGATCATGCTGAAGCTTGAGTTCGCTTCAAGCTTCTCCTTGTTTTGACCTTCAACGCCCACCAGCCGCTGCAGAGCCTCGATCATCATCATGCCTGTGACCGCCAAGAGGAAGCACGCGTTCACTAGGCCCCCGATCACTTCGGCTCTCTGCCATCCGAAAGTGAGGTTGTGCTTCGGCTTCGAAGAGTTGATTCTTGCTACCCAGTACCCGATGAGAATGGCGAACACGTCAGAAGCCATGTGCATGGCGTCTGTGAGGATCGCAAGTGATCCACTCAGCATGCCAACGATTATCTCGGCAGCAAGATAGGACATGGACAAGCAGAGCATGAGAGAAAACCTCCTTGTCGACTGATCTGCAGCAAGCCTGAGCTCATCAGAGATCCTATCGAGATTTTCGACATCAAATCTCCTGCGCGTCTTCCTGCTCCAGGCATCATCATGCTGGCAAATCTTTGGGGAGAGGCAAGCAGACCTTGAGCCTTCGCATGCAAGGTTTTCTTGAGATTCGTCTACGCGCATTTCAACGTGACCAGAGGCGGATTTCTCATCGGAGGCATGCATGCCGAATGATTCGTTCACGAGCGTGCCCATCGATCATATGCCTTCAGTCTGCGTGGATCGGTAGGGAATTGGGGGGCTGCGTGCAACCTGAGGGGAAAATCAGCGGCAGCTCAAACAATGTAGAAAGGGAAGGAGATGTCAACTATCAGCAACCGGACAGCCCATGTCCTGGTGATACGAGGGGAGGGGAGGGGAGGGGAAGACAAATGGAGCAAGAGAAGGAGCGGCAAGTTCAGGTGACAAGGAGTCATCGTATAAGAAGGAGGGAACAGGAGACGGGTCGGTGGGTGGGTGGAGCGAAGGCACATGCAGCCATTACGAGGCCTCTTTTCCTCTCTCCTCCCTCCATTCCCCTGCTTCCCATTAACTTTGGGGGGGCTGTAAAACATCCGGAGGCCTTAAAACTTTTGTGCCGCCCGCCGTGGGGCCGGCCCCGCCGGCCGGTGACTCTGTGATCGGATCCCGGCCGGCCGGGCGGCCCGGGGCCCGGCCGGCGCCCGGGCGCGGCAAATGTCGGATGGAACTTGGAATACCGGACCTCCGACCGAGTCGGAGCCAGGCTGGCACTGACTTGAAACTGCACACTGGCCAGCAGCAGCATGCTGTTAAGTGACTCGTGCCTTCGAAACTTTCACTTCGGAAGGTATCAATCAAGTCGGCCACCGTGTCACTGAGTGTAACCCGGGTGCGGCGACCGTACTAGGTGGCAGTGTCAGGGCCCGGGCCGCGCCCAAGGGCCGGCCGACAGCCTGTGACAGGCTCCTCCGCCGGTACTGTGACGTACCCGGTACCGTCGGTACCCGGTACTAACCGGGACCGGCGCGGCGGGCCCGGGCCGGCCCGGCCCGGGCCGCGGCGGGCGCCGCGCGGTCCGAGCCGCCTGTTCAACGGTTGCGGCCCCGGCCGGCAGTGACTCCGCCCTCGCGGCGCCTGAGTCGGGGGCCGAGGCCGACTCACTGTCGGTGGCAGCCGGCGAGCCTCGGAGCGTTCCGGGCCGCCGCGGCGCCCGGCGCCCGGCCCGCCGGCGGTGGCTGCCGGCCGGGCCGCGAGTCTATCATCTCATAGTACGGTACGTCACTGAACTCGGAACTCGGAAGTTTCAACCCGCGCGGCCCGGCCAGGGCCTCCCGGGGGCCGCCGGTCCGATCATCTCCCGGAAGTACGTCACGACGGAGGGCAATCATCAATTTCCAATCAACAAATTTTTGGAGTAATCATTTTCCAATCAACGAAAGTTTGCAGTAATCATTTTCCAATCAACTTTTTGAAACAATAATCAGAGGTCGTGAAAGGGGTAGGGGGACTACCGTTACACGTATCTGAAACGGTCGTAACCGTATACTTTTGCAATCATTTTCTGGTTCACATGTTGTTTGAAAAATTTCACGAGCTGACGATCTGGGAGCGAGAAATGTACCAATTGCGCATACAAACGTCCTTGTCCTGTAAAACGATTACGCATATCTACAGACAGTACGAGGCAAAGTACGTCACAAACGGGATCAACACAGTTGAATTCTGAGTTTGACTGCTTCGACCTAAATTTGATTAAGATTTTCGTTGCTTCCAAGGTATTTGCACAATTCTAACCTCATTGGCTCGAACTGTAAGGAGCTCGCATGGATGGAACATTCATGCAGCAGGTGCTTAATGTCATCTTGCAGCTTCCAAAGCAGCTTAAAGGTGAATAAGGCGAAGAGATGAGCACACGAAGGCAGAAATACTTTTAGATCGGACGAATGCAACTCATCAACAATGACGTGCATGGAACAAATGTTCACGTCCTGTGCTAGTGTCAGACATTGAAGTGCTGGCTGATACCGTAAGCTCCTTTCCTGCGCTAGTCTCCAGACGTGGAGCTCGTGGACATCAACAACGCCTTGTTGCTACAACCAGCAATTTCAACAATTCTTGCTCGGTGACATATAAGAGAAAACCTCCTTGATCAACTCCTGAAGCTCGTGACTGGTTGAAGCCTGATCAGCATAAGCCTCAATCTCGACTGTCGGTGACAGAGATCAAGCCCTACATGCGAACAGAGGTCGTTGGGAGCACTCTCCATGAGCAGCATGATGGTCTGCATGCCCCGTCATGATGAAGGAAGGCCATTGAAAACTTGCCTCTGAGAAGATCGGGATCGTATTGTAGAAGATAATCCCTACGATCATCAGGCTGAAAAAGAGGGGTCAGATCGTAAGGGGTCATTCTTATACGCACCTTGACAAGGGGTCGACAGCGTACTTGTAAGGACTGTAGCAAGCATGATACTCAGCGAGAAGACAATATTGGGTAGACGGTGCAGAGAGAGAGTGGAATTGAAGAGGTCGAGTGGGGGAGCGTATAGTACCTTGTGCTGTACTTGATGATAGCTGAGCTGAGAACTACTGCAAACGGTAAAAACTTTAGTCCTCTTCCTTTGGGAAGGCGGCAGAGAATGGAACGTACCGGATACTGCCCCCATCATGTCTCCCAGGATGTGCAAAAATATTGATCTTTCGTTGAAGTTGTCATGATGGACATGAGCATGCTTTTCCTCGAAATGATCGTTACTGTGCTGTGCTTCCAGCTGCGGCATGTAAGTGAGGAATAAACTTCTCATGGGAAAAGTTGACCTTGGAGTAGCTCCGAGAACGTCCGGAAGATGGCAATATCTTCGATCTTGTACTTTCATGATTATGTCTGTGCAGGATAGCGGTAGGCAACAAATCATCCATAGCATCTTGATGCACAAGCTTCGAATGCTCTCTGTCATGACAGCCTGATGCTAGAGAGGTTCTTTCACTCGGTGAATGATTGTCGCAGCACGATGCCGATGTGCAACATTCTTCTTGCCGTCCCTCACCCTCACAGCCCTCGTCCTTGCTATGGCAAGAGTGCGAATAATGCGAATGATGTGAGTGAATGTTGACTTCTGTCATCTCACTTTCATGTCCATGACTTCGAGTGTGGCATGGACCATGAGAGTCCTGGTGGTGGTGAAGTTGGGGAATGCTGCCATGCCCGTGCGAGTGACCATGCCCGTGCGAGTGACCATGCCCGTGCGAGTGACCATGCCCGTGCGAGTGACAGCCATGTGAATGTCCATGTCCGCCGAAGATGAAGAGTCCAGCTAAATTGATGCAAACACCCATCATGCCCACGATCATGCTGAAGCTTGAGTTCGCTTCAAGCTTCTCCTTGTTTTGACCTTCAACGCCCACCAGCCGCTGCAGAGCCTCGATCATCATCATGCCTGTGACCGCCAAGAGGAAGCACGCGTTCACTAGGCCCCCGATCACTTCGGCTCTCTGCCATCCGAAAGTGAGGTTGTGCTTCGGCTTCGAAGAGTTGATTCTTGCTACCCAGTACCCGATGAGAATGGCGAACACGTCAGAAGCCATGTGCATGGCGTCTGTGAGGATCGCAAGTGATCCACTCAGCATGCCAACGATTATCTCGGCAGCAAGATAGGACATGGACAAGCAGAGCATGAGAGAAAACCTCCTTGTCGACTGATCTGCAGCAAGCCTGAGCTCATCAGAGATCCTATCGAGATTTTCGACATCAAATCTCCTGCGCGTCTTCCTGCTCCAGGCATCATCATGCTGGCAAATCTTTGGGGAGAGGCAAGCAGACCTTGAGCCTTCGCATGCAAGGTTTTCTTGAGATTCGTCTACGCGCATTTCAACGTGACCAGAGGCGGATTTCTCATCGGAGGCATGCATGCCGAATGATTCGTTCACGAGCGTGCCCATCGATCATATGCCTTCAGTCTGCGTGGATCGGTAGGGAATTGGGGGGCTGCGTGCAACCTGAGGGGAAAATCAGCGGCAGCTCAAACAATGTAGAAAGGGAAGGAGATGTCAACTATCAGCAACCGGACAGCCCATGTCCTGGTGATACGAGGGGAGGGA